GAGAGCAGCCACCCCTCACCCCCAGGCCCCGACTCATTTCCTCCTGCACCGTCCGTAGCAGACCGTCGACCTCGGTTTCCACAGGTTGTCCGTTCGCGGGGTCAGATCACCGCGGATGGAAACCGGTTCTGTGATTGCTTCTGCGCTGAACCCGTGTAGACTCTTCCCTGCCACGTCCCCTCCTAACCAGTGCAAACTACTGACCATTCATACAGCGCTCACGTCGTACTGGGTGCTGCAAGTCGTGCAGAGATGATCTGGAATATCTGGGAGGAGGTGAGTGGGTCGGACGCACGTGCTATATGTGACTTTACGTGTGGGACTTGAGCGTCCCTGGATCTGGTATCCTTGGGGACACGAGGGATGGCTGTGTTTATGTATCTATCGCTACGTCTCCACGGTGCTGGGCTCTTGAACCCTGAAGCCTCCTATATACCCTGAGGTTCCTAGGGCAGCGCCTGGCGCACAGTAGGTGTTTGAATATTCATCAAATACGCACCAGACGCATACGAGACCACACCTGCTCAGACCTCTGGGGACGATGGAGGAAATGTGGTGGAGGGAGAACGGGGCCTGGGCCTGTCCATCCTGGGTGGCGATGACTGCTGTGCCCAGGCCCTCACCGTCCCTGGGTCTCCCCGGGGGACCATGCCCTGCCGGGCCACACAGCAGCCGGCACCAATTCCAAACAAGTGGTTTATTTGAACATAGTAAACAGGCCCCCGGCACGGGCAGGCAGGACACTGCAGACACACCCGCAGCACAGAGCCGCCCGGCCAGGGGGACCATAAGTAGAAATGTCACCCCCCTCCCCCTCCCCCTCCCCCATCAAAAATACTCGGGGTCCCAGCAGAAGGCCCCGTTCTCTCTCGCCCCAGTTAAAACCCCCAACCAAGAATGGGACCACCCAGGGACAATGACAGTGAAAACAGAGTGGCCGTTTGGCCTGGAGGTAGCAGAGGGCCACGCCCACCCCAGGGTCATGCCACCTGGGAACATTGTCCCTTGGAGGTTCCCAGGGGACACGGTCCTCCCTTGAGTTGGATCCCACTCTTGACACAAGATAAAACCTGAGAACCCCAAATGACCGCTCCTGGCCCCAGAATCCAAACCAGCTGACGGCTCCCCCCAACTGCTGCCCAAACCACAGCTGGAGTCCATCCGCCTGCACCGCGAGACGGGCCCCGAGCAGCCGCCGGTCACAGCCGCCGGTCACAGCCGCATGCCCTCCATGTACTCCTCCCGGGTCATCCACTCGGACCTGTAGGTGGACAGGTGGGCCACCACCGAGGCGCCCAGCCACACGCTGAAGTTCCGGTTGGCGCCCACCCATGTGGTGGCCTTGGTGGAGGGGAAGTGGCCCGAGGTCAGCTCCTTCTGGAGGCGCTTGGTGAAGCCCGGGTAGAGGCTGTTCCCGCCGCAGGCCATCACGTGGGACAGGAGCAGGGGGTGCCTGGAGGCCTCGCAGGAGGAGATGGACTCGGCCACGGCCTGCGGGATGCCGGGCCCCTGCAGGTCGAACACCTGGGGGCTGAAGAACATCTCGGGGCTCAGGCGCTGCATGGGCGTCAGCTCCACCGCGGTGCCGTCCGGGAGCTGGTACGTGTTGCTCTCGTCCGCGCCGATGGGCAGGCTCTGGCGGAAGTCCAGGGCCTCCCCCAGGTTCTGCGGCACGTAGCACTTGCTCATCTGAGTGGACGCGACGGTGTCCAGCTGGAACAGGTCGTGCCGGTTGCGCCCCTCCTTGAAGAGGCTCTGGAAGAGGTAGGCCGAGAGGTCCTGCCCCGCCAGCTCCAGGGTCTTCCCGCTGTCGGGCAGCGGTCGGCCCAGGTGGAAGGGCTGCACGCGGGTCAGGCCGTAGCCCGAGTCCACCACGACGCCCGTCAGGAGCCCCGAGGCGTAGAGGGACATCTCCAGCTGGTCGGCCAGGAGCAGGGACGGCACATCCAGGAGCTCGAACATGATCTGCAACAGGAGAAGCTGCGTGTGTCCTCCAGCCCCGGGCCCCGCGCCAGCCCTGCGCCCCAGGACCCTCCCGCCTCAGGTCTCAACACTCAGCGCTGCGGACCCACGCTCTCAGGGCCACCGGGCTGCCCAGGACCAGGGTGCAGGCCCCGGGTGCTCACCTGGTGGGAATATGGGGGGGGGCTCTGGGGGGCTAGAGTCAGGGGCCAAGTCTGCCCTCGGGGACTTGTCTGACTGTGGTCCTCGGAAGATGGTGTCAGCAAGCGGGGAGGGGACTCATCAGGCAGCAAACCCGCCACTATGTCATGCAGAGTTCCAGGCCCAGGGGAGGGAGAGAGGAGGGACGCTGCGCCGTGCCCCGCGGGCGAGGCTGAGCTCCTGCCTGGATCAGAGGCTCCCAGCGTGAAGACAGCGAAGTTCTGAGGCCCAGCATTTGGCAAAGCCCTGGGCTGAGCTCCTCCCCGCTGACCGTCATCCCCCGGATCTCTGCACAGTCCCCTCCCCAACCCCACAAAGTCCTGGCCCCCGTCCAGCCTCTGGCCTCCGACTCCCCGCCCACTGGCCCTTCAGGCCCTCCCTGCCCACTGGGAGTGCTCCCCTCTCCTGTCCTCCACGGTGTCCCCGACTCCACCATCGTGGCCCCAACAGCAACCCAGGTTCTCCTCAAGCAGAAGCTCACACAGGACCCCCCATCTATAGCTCTCCAGGGCCTCTGGTCCTGGACGGCAGGGCTGGCGGGCACTTCCCCAGCTCCACGACCAGGGGCCACGTTTAGCAAACACCCGCACGGGGCGCCCAGCTGGGCGTGAATTTCGGCATAAGTCTGTCCCCTGCCTTCTCTGGGACACACTTGCACTAAGGTGTCATTTGTTATTTATCTAACAGTTGAATCTAACGAGGCTTCGTGGATCTCACCCAGCAAACCCACGATTCTAAATGTTTCAGATTTTACGGGCCAGTCTCCGCCACAGCTGTTCACCTCTGCTGCCACACTGTGAAAGGTGCAAATGCCCAGGTATGGCTGAGTTCCAATAAATCTTTATTCGCAAACACAAGTGGTGGGCCGGGTTCGGCTCACTGGCCATAGTTTGCCAACCTTGGATTTGGAGTAAAATCGAGGGGCTCCCTATGGCCTAGCAGGCCTGGGAGCTCAGCCCCTGGCCACCCCACCATCCTAGTTGCCCCTGGCCACCCCCTTTCCTGTTCACTGAGCTGAAGTCACCTCCTCTGGGAAGTCCTCCTGGATCACGCCCTCCCTCCCCAGAAGCTCCTCCTCCCCACCTGATTTGATTTCTAGAACCATCTGGAATTCTTATCTGTTAACTTCCTGGTGGCTGAGTCTTCCCCTGGAATGTGAGAACGTGGACTCGGAATCCTTGGACTCGTGGACAGCCATCCAGAGCCCCCGGCAGGACCCCCTCCACTGAGCACGCAGCTGGCCCGGCCAGGACTCTGGGGCGGAGCCGGGGCCGACACACTCTAGGTACGTGGCAACCGCTAAAAACTGTTGAAACGCAGTGATCCGGAGATCAGAGGATCCCGGGGTCACAGGGGGCCCGCAGCCCGCCCGGGGCCTCACCTCCAGGGTCTTCTTTCGGTCCGTGGGCTCCCTGCGGGGCGTCTCGGTGATCATGACGGGGAAGTCCTCGTGCCCCTGCCGGTGCCTCTCCAGGACGAAGGTCCAGATGTGCTGCACGCCGTCCCAGTTGAGGACGCGGCCGCGCTCTATGGGGTAGCTGTAGGTCTCGGGGTGGCAGATGTCGATGCCCAGGCTCACGCGCCTCTGGGCGTAGCTGGGGCCGGGGTTCTCCCTGCAGGGCAGGTAGTTCACGATGCTGGGCACCACCATCTGCGGCTCGTTCCAGCCCGACAGCCCGGCCTTCAGGAAGCCGGACCCGTGGTCAATGATGATGGTTCTCGCGGCCATGGCGGCGGGGGACACAGGGAGGCGAGGTGGCTTCCAGGCGGGTGTCCACGGGCGAGTGGAGAGCGAGAGTCACCTGCCCAGGGAGAGGGTGGACTGTCGGAGGACCGTCCTAGGCCACCTGGCTGCTCCCACCCTCCACCCAGGGACCACCCCTGGCCGACGCTGGCCCTGCTGCCCCCGGGCACGAGGCCTGACCGTGTCTGGGACCACCTCCCATCCCGGGCCCCTGGCCACCCCACGGGCCTCGTCCACCCTGCCAACCCCAGTCCTGCCCACCGGGCCGGCTCCTGTGGTGCCCCCCCACGAGCCCATCACACAGAGCAGGGCCACTCTGCTGACTGGACACGGAGTGGGTCACAGGAGGCGCTGGCTGCCCGTGAGCAGAGGGCACGTGGGCCGTGAGAAGCAGTGGAGGGGCCACCGCCCTCAACAGCAGCAATGACATGGGACAGCAGAGGAGCTGGACGGCAGGGGTGACCGGGTGGCAACAGCCAGCTGCCAGGTCTGGAGTTGGTCCCCTCCACCCAGGACGCGGGGCCGTAGTTAGAGCTATTTAAAGTCACCATCCGTGGTGACCGGCTCAGCCGTTTCCCTGTGCCCAGGAACACAGGCCCCCATCCCCGCCCTGCCCTCCAGCCAGGCCCCATCGTCACACCCGCTGCCCAGACAGGGCAACGGAGGCACGGGGACAACACAGGACCCACGACTAACGAGGGGGTCTGAGGGTGAGGCCGGAGCAGACCCCAGAGGCCCTGAGCAGGACGAGAAGGCTGCGGGTGTCACAGGGTGGGGTGGCTCACGGCACAGGAGGGACGAGCAGACCCCACCCGGCATGGGGTAAACGGGGGACAGCCACCCCCACGCTCAAAAGGCAGGGCCACCGCCACTGGCCTCCAGGAACACCGCAGGGCCACACGGTGTGGTGTCGGCGAGAGTCACACGGACGCGGGAGCAGTGGTGACCTCAACAGCAACCGCTGAACGGAGGACGCACGTCTCCACCACCATCCGCGGAGAGCAACGGGGACACACGTAGAGACCTCAGTCCACGCGCCACGCCACGCAGGGGACTCACAGTCAGTCCCACCCAACACGTGGGGTCTCCAAGAAAACCGAGGAGACCATCACTGGGGAAGGCAAATATACATACATAACCCAGACGGAACCCGAGAAGCCCCCGATCCGCAAGACCCAACCAACAGGTCGCCGCTCAGAGGATGAAGACAGCAGCAGGGCGCACACCCGTGACCCCAGCAGCTGCGGAGGCCGAGGCAGGAGGATCACAAAGCCAGCCTCGGCAATTCAGCAAGACTCTGCCTCTAAATAAAATGTCAAAAAAGGGCTGAGGATGTGGCTCCACAGTGAAGTGCCCCTGGGGTTCAATCCCCAGTGAGAGAGAGAGAGAGAGAGAGAGAGAGAGAGAATGAAAAGGGGTCTCCTGTCGGGAGGGAGGAGGAAATGTCTGCAGGTCGAGCACCTGATAAACAACTGGATCCAAAAAACAGAATAAACTCTCCAAACCCAACAAGGAGAGCAGCGGCCCGTGTTTCAGGGGGGTAAGAGATTCGCGCTCCACTGCCACAGAACACGCAGGTGGCAACAGGGGGGGGGGCTCCAAAACACGCCCCTCATTATTGGTCACGGGGGAAACGCCCATCATGACCACAGGGTGGCGCCCTGCACACCTGTGGGTGGCTAAGGTTCCAGCGGCCCATTCCAAGTGCTGGCGAGGAGGTGGGGACGAGGAGGTGGGGACGAGGAGGTGGGGATGGATCGGATGGTGGGCGTGGGTGACAAGGGGGAAGCTTTGAAACAGGCTCAGCCACCACGCGCCTGCCCTGTTACCTCGCGCTATCCAGCGGGAGCTGCACGGGGCCTTTGTGCATCTAAATAAAATGTCTGACGGGGGTCAGCCGCACAGCTTCAGCAGGACGCGGAGCGCGGCTCTCGCTGGATGGACTGTGGCCCCTGGTGATGAAGAGGAACCACAGCAGGACCCCTGATGTGACCCGGAAGGAATCCAGGTGCCAGCCGACGCGCAGAGCTGCTCCACTGAGGTGACCCTCTGCAAACAGAGTCACCTTGTGGGGTGTAAGTCACCCCAGCCACAGCGACTCCCAGACCCAGTGCTTCCCAGAGCCTCCAGGGAGGCCGGGCAGCCCGGAGGCTGCGTTCCTGGGCTGTCACCCTGCGGGCCACCTGCTCTGCTTCTGACCCTGGACAGCCGCTACAGCTGCCCATCACCATCGAGCATGACCACCGTCAGGGCCTGGCCAGGGTCTCCCTTGGAGGAAAGACTTGGAGGAAAGACTCGGCCTCCTTGCCTCTAAGGAGCTCTGGCCTCAGAGCAGGGGAGACAGAGGGGAGAGGCCAGCGGCCTGTCCTTGCCCTGACAGGCCGCGGGATGGTGTCCTCACACAGAATCAGCCGCGGTGATGGAGACCCAGGTGCCTGGACGCCATTCCAGGGAGCAGACTCTGCACAAGACCTGGGAGACTGAGCGATGTTTAAGTGCCTGGTTCTGCGCGGGAACGCCAACCTGCTCCAGAGTGAAAGCGGCGGCAGTTAACCGACGGCTCTACGCTAGACTCAAGGCTTCAGTCTTTCTTTCAGTCAAGATGAGTGATAAACCAGACTTGTCTGAAGTGGAGAAGTTTGACAAATCAAAACTGAAGAAAACTAATACTGAAGAAAAAAAATACTCTTCCCTCAAAGGAAACTATCCAGCAGGAGAAAGAGTGTGTCCAAACATCATAAAATGGGGATCTCCTCCCAAGAGCAAATTTCAACATTGATGGAGAGTCTTGGTTTTAGTAAACCCATGTATTCGTAGAAATTTTAGGCATCTATGGCTTCTCACTTGTACTCTGTGGCTAAGAGGTCAACACTAGTCAATGTTCCCTTAAATTTATTTTTAAACTTCTCCTTGGTACATAAATAAATTCCAAATGAAAGGTGCTGTCAATAGTGTCACCATTGATGATCTTTGTGTGTGTAGTCTTTGCAAACCCCATAAGGCAAGCCAATTTTAACTTAGAATGGGTACCTCCATTGCTTCTTAATATTCATGAAGTTACATACTTTTGCAGCTTCTCACAGTTAATTTTCATTTCTAATGTACCAATAAAATAATAAACACACACACACAAAAAAAAGACCCGGGAGACTGACTGCTTCCTCAGCCCTGGTGCGCAGGGGACACGGGCAGGGACACGGGCAGGGGACCCGGGCAGGGACACCCGCAGGGTCGCTGTCAATCGGGATGCTGTGCCCCGGGCTGACTGACGAGGCCTGGGGCAGGAGGGTGGGAGTGGGCCACCTCTCCCCTGGGCCCTGACTGTGAGAACATCTGGGTTCCCATGGCTGCAGGGAGCAGCTCCCAGGACAGGGGCCGAGCCACACCGTCTGAGCACTCCCACTGCATGGCCCTGCCGAGTCCCTCTCCGCACCAGGAGCCGCTCTGGACTGGCGAGCTGCTCCCCGCCCGGAGTGGACATTCCACCAGGAAAGACGGTCCTTGGTCACCTCATCTGACACAGTGTGCCATGGCAATCAGAGTGGAGGAGGAAGGGGCCCCTCCACAGCGTGGCCTTTGAGCCGAGAACTGAACGGCGTGAGAGGGTAAGAA